TTAGATCGAAAAACCACTTCAGTATCCTGAAAAAAGAGGATAGCAACTGCACCCTCTGCAATAAGCTGCGAGATGCGATGCACCCAAGGATTTCAAAGAATAATCGTGCTCTATAAGACGAATATTGATGCACCTTCTCGACTGACCTATGTACACTTTACCACAGCTAAAAGGAGTCAGGAGTCATGTAAACAACGCCCATTGCGCAGTCCATGAACCTTTTGCTGTGTTTCATGCGACATTGCGGAAACTCTCTGCGCATGCGGAACAAATAAATTGCAGTTTGCTTTTGGCTTAGAAAAGCACACCGACTTTATATCTATTACCGAATTGCTTAAGTTCTTGTGATGTCTCATGAAGGCAAGGAATCACTGCTATCCTCCCACCTTTTCTACTCTCATCACGACACCCCGAGTGCTTTCCTTCGAATTTTAGTTTCTTAATCATGGTGTTTACACGAACGTGATGACATCATTAGGATACCCTGCTTGTACTAGTTTCCGTACTTCCGTGTTTAACAACATGATTAAGAAACTAAAAAATTATAGCACTGTGTATTTGTGGAAGCTCACCTAGTAAATTTCTGCTCCAAGTACATAAATTTGGTATAAAGGATAATATTATAATTTGTCTATCACAGGTTGCTCATTGATCCACAAAATGATTACTTCACTTATGAGGACAAGAATAAGGCTGACTACTCTAAAAAATCAATAAGACATGCTAATCTTATTGTTCTTCGAGTGCATGCATAAGCAGATCTTTTACAGTTAAGATTTTCTTTTTATTTCATTAAAATAACCATTAAACAGAATATGTATCATAAGTAAGTTAAACACACGTTCAATAAGCTCCGAACTGCTAGACATTAAATATATATAATTAAAAATGCACAACTTATTGCAGACGATGGTAACAGAAATATATGCCTAGAAGGCTCATTAGTTGATCAGTATTTTTTTACATTCTTTACAATGAAACATGCACGGACAAAACACGTGAAACAGACATGTGCCGTTAGGTCTGCCTTCTTTCATTCATAGCCATCTGTGTCATCATCCTCATATTCTTTTTTGTGAACGTGTTCTTTAGCGGCTAACTATGCATACTTCATTATCATTTTTGCTGCATTAGTGTAACTGGATATTTTTTGTGGGTGTGTGTTGGTACAGTTTGGCTAAGCTTTCATGTAACCACAATGCCAAAACTATAAACCAAAATATTTAGACATATTCTATTCTACTAAATGTTTTTATGAGGTGCCCTACGGTGGTGCGAAAATGCAAAACGATTATGTGTGCCACTTACAGTGGCTGTTCAAACCCTTCCTGGAGCAGATCGATATTTCTATAGCCTGATTATTCAAGATATACAAGTATAGATATTAACAGACATAACAAGGCACAGAAAGTGCACAAATCGCTGACCAAACAAGGTGCATGTACTTTCTTTGGTTAGCTGCGCGATTTCTGAACACATGTCACGGCGCTCCGAAGCACATGCATCAAAGGGGCACATACGAATTTTCAATATTTTTAAATTGCTGCTTTAAATAGCGTACTGACTCGCATTATAAACGCACTCTTATAGTTAGTCTTTAAAATTTGTTTTTCTTTCTCGTACGTAAGAAACGCACTGCTGTATTTGTCCACTGTAGCCCCGCTAACCGATCCGACAACTGGCGCCTCCTTGCCTCTTGATGTCTTTTGTTTTTTATTATTATGCCATCCCTCCCAACCACCTCGGCTCGCTCAACCTCCCCCTCCACCCCCTCTCCCCCCTGCAACCGCTGCCGCGCGCAGGTAAGGGCTATCATGCGCGCGGCACCAGGCCTCGGAAACTCTGATGTTCCCGCGATGGCCGTAGAGGGCGAAAAAGTCGACCACGGCGAGTTTCGTCATGTGCGCGTATAGTGGAACCACTAACTCCTATTTTAGCGGTAGGATAAGTTAGTGTGCATTTTCCCTGTTAGGGGCGCTCAACGCGGCTAAAATCAGCAGGGGGCAAACCAAAAAGAATTATCGGTTAGGAAGAACGGTGAAGAAAGCTGAGACCGACATGGGAGAATCGGCATCATTAAGAAGCGCGCACTAGAGATCTATCGAACTTTTAAGCAGGAAATTGCCTAGGAAAGGATTTATGATAATACTCGGGGTAGTTCTCTACTGTTTGAGGCCAGGACGGGAGTATTGCGAACCAAGACATATCGGGCCAAATACGAAGGGGTAGACACGGTATGCAGTGCGTGTGGAGAGGAAGAAAAAACTGCCGAACACTTGATAATGTTCTGTAAAGGGATTCACCCTATAGTTCAGGATGATGGCGTAGAGTTATTCAAAGCACTGGGGTTTAGAGACAGGGAGGGCAAAATAGACTTTAAGCGGGTAGAATTAACTAGAAGGAGGTTATCTGATTGGTGGCTGAAGTCAAGGCATAAGTGAAAATTAAACCCTTCAGTGCAAAGTACGAATCCTCAACCTCACTATTTAAAGGGAAAAAATAAATCTAGTTTTTGGCTCATTAAGTATTACGGCTTGGTGGCGCTAGCCACCGCCCGATCTAAAGGGTACAGCCATATCCATCCAATCATCCATTTTTATTTCAGGATGCGTCAAAAGACCGTTAAATATAGTTGTCACGTAGTTTGTGATATATAATTGAATAAAATATTTTTTATTACTTTTGCTCTCAATACAATAGCGGCGACTGTTCGATTTTAAGTATAGACCCTTTTCATAAATACGCCACTTGACGGTGAGCTTTTCGTCAGTTTCGCTTTGCAAAGAAGCGTGGGATAGCTCGCGCCATCTTGAATCACGTAACAAGGGCGTTCCGTGCACTAGTACTTGTGCATTTGAGAAAAGTACGATTAGTTTGGGTGCCTGGACATGAAGGTTTGTTTCTGAATGAAATAGCCGATTCCTTAGCTAAGTCGTCAATCAGCGAACCAATTCTACCGCTCTGTCCATCATCCGCTTATGTGACTGCTGCTCGATTCCGCAGACGTACGCTTATGCAAGTCTTTAAAGGTTCAGCACTAACAAACTCTACAGAATATCGCCATTTATTATATCCCTGGCGAAGAGACTTTTGCCGCAGTCGAAAACAAGAAGTAGCTATCACAAGGCTGCGTTGCCGGGTACCAAATCTAAATTTCTATAAAGACAGGTCTGTGATGAACTGGAAATAATAGCCCATTCTTTTTGACCTGTAGGCGGTTTAACATATTTCGAAAAACCCTATCATAAATACCTTTGCGTGGTATTGGTATGGACTTATCTCTGCCTGTCATTTTTTCTTTTGGAGCTTCCATTTCTGGTTTCTCTAATGGGACAGTATGCGCGGCCGTCCGGGACTATATTGATGAAACTAATAGGTTGACTAATTAACCAGTTTCATCATCCTAACAGGTCCGCATAATAATATACGTATAAAATCAGATTATTGCTCTATTCTAAGAATAAATTCGTTTATGTAAATATTTGTATGCATTACATTAAGCACCACACTTGCCTAGGCTATCGGTAATCTTTCTGTTATACCTCCATCATTCCAAATCTGAACAGTTAATTTTAAAACCACTCGATTCTTGGCCAATCTCCCACAGTGGGTATGCGCCACTAACAATAGGAGAACAACAACAATAACAACAACAACAGCGAGCCGTCAAATGCGTGAGTGCTGTGATGTTTGTGTTGGCGGCTAGTTCTCGTATCATCCGCTGCAATCGCACCACTTTCTAGCTTGAACGAGCTTTTAGTACTCTCCGATAAGATTTTTGAGCTGCTTCCGCTGCAAAACGAGCAATATTTTGTACCCTTCAACGAGTTGGACGAGCAGTTTGGCTTGTTATGACTGGCAATGCATGGATCCGGCGTGCAAGAGACTCTCATCAGCGTGCCCTCCCGTCGTGGTCCACGTTCTGCAGGAACGCAAGAGGTGTCAGTGTGCGCTGCAAGAAACGCGCATCAGCGTCGCTGGGACACACAGCCTGCATCGTCTGCTGCGGTGCCCTCACAATGGCGGCAGACTGTAGTTCGCGTCCGCGGCGCTAGGGGCACCTTTTTTTCGAAAAGAGACTATTGAGATTATACTGACACTCGAAACGCAGCAGCCCATTGGCATCGATTGCGTTTCTGTTGGTTAATTTGTTCAAAGTGTACCGCGGTTAGCCATGGTACTTTTTGTCGAAAAGTACTGCGAAGCTCCATTTTTATTCAGCTTTGACATATCAATACGACCTTGTGTGTCAGACTTTACGGGCCGCTACGACGAAGTGAACGTGCCTAAAGGCTGTGAACCATGCCAGCTGCTGTGCTTCACCGACTTCCTGCTGCGCAGCCTTTAGCGTGTAAATTTAACGCGGGCAAATCGCTTGGAGACACTGCCTACTAAGATCGAAATGATCATGCACCATGTGGGCGTGTTCACCGGTGAGTGAAAATGCGCTGCTTTGCATCTAAATATGGTCCTTTTATTTTGCATGCGCTACAGTTTTTGTCATTTCATAAGGCTTTTTGACCTGTACAGCTAATAACATGCACACCTTGTGAATATTTGAGATTCTTTACTTCGTTGTCACATTCGCTGAAAATATCTTTACTGCTAAACTTTGTATCACAGATCACATCATCACAGCATAACATTTACCTGATTCTGCTCAAATAAGTCTGCTGCAATACAAACTCATAAATTCAACGCATGGTAGAGTCAGGTGAACCTTTCATACATGCACGCGTTTGTACATTTTCGTAAGTTTACAATGAAGCATAATACATTTGCATGAACCATGTAGCCCATCCAGTTGGGGGATTACCTAGCTTTGTCCACTGAAAAACGTCACTAAAGCTAATTCATTATAATGCCATCCGCAAGACAAATTTACAAAAACAGCAATGTTATGTCCACACTACCTTTCTTATATGCAGTGGTCCCATATACATTCTTCTTAGCCATGCATCACAAATCCGTTCACGCTTCTACCAGAGTTCACGCTTCTACCGTCAGGAACGGGCTCGACACACGCCGGCATGGCGACAGCGACAGCCTACCGCCAGCAAGACGAAGAGCGTTAAGAGTTTACAAAACATATCCGGTATAATGACCGCTTGCTGACAAGATGGCCTCGTGTTTCGATGACAGGACTGGACGAAGATTGAGACTAGGCTGTACGATAGCAGATAACGTTGTGAGCTCTGTTAAAAAGTGCCACTGACACGACGATTTTCAGTAGCCGCTTTTCCGCGTCAAACGGAAGGCCAGGTCATCAACTCTCTAGAGCCTTTAGAGAATGCACTTTTAAACTGGAGTGCACCTGGAAATCAAATACAATGCGTTTTTAAAAGCTAGTCTCGGTTACTGCTGTACCACGAGTTGGAAAGGTGGTGTCTTGGGCTAGCTTGTGGGTCATGATAATTGTTATATCGTAAGCTCCAGACAAGCACCAAAGAGTACACGAAGACTAACGCTAACTTCCAACTATGTTTACTGTGCAGAACGCGAAAATATATAGGTTTCAAAAACCACGTGGCAAAAGAGAAGTAACGCAAACAGAATCAGCCAGAAAAAAATTCAAAACAAGAAAAGCATACCTAAAGAAAAAGCTTAAGAAATATCGAACAAAAACAGAGCAACTAGTGATATATTTGTTTGTTTTCTTGTTTCCTGACCTTTCTTTTCTACGTATGCTTTTCTTTCTTTCATTATTCGCTATGCTAATACTTTTTCCATTGCTAATATTTGGTCACGTAATTTTTGTCACAATAAATTTTCATTTCCTGCACAATGAACACAGTTAGAACTTGGAGCTCGTCTTCGTGTTTTTTTTTCTATTCTCAGGAGCTCACGACACGCTTCTAGTTACTTGTCAGGTACGCGCATAATATACAGTGACATTCATACGGTCATTCACCTTGTGGATCCATTCATGATGCACAAGGAGTCATTCTGAATATTTTTGACGGCACACTAGCTGCCATCTTGAATGTTTTGCGGCCACACGTGCTGACAACTCACCACCAGCATTCATACCACAGCCTTACGTCACGATAGCGCAGACATCTCGCTTTTCACACTAGTGAAGGAATCCTATTCATCCACCTCCTCCTTCCGATCTCATGGCAACTACAAAGGCCGTAATGCATCACCGTCTCCGCGCAGCTTTTCTGCAACGGGAAATGGCAAAAGATGCCGACGGCGGTGCACTACAGCTCAAAAATTTACGCCATTTCCCGCTAAAGAGAGCCAATGGCGCTAACACTCACACTGGCGGCGGCGTTGAGCACGGGAGACACCTGGGGAGGCGCAAAGCACGCAGCTATATATCGGTGTTTTCTACTGCAACATGCCAGTCGCTGCTAATGAGCAGTGAGAGACAGAAGGTTCCGATTGCACACAGAGACTCGCAGTCCGCTTCTAGTTAACGCACATGCAGCAAATTTTCATTCCTGAACAACGCACAGAAGAAACCTCCCACTGACCCTGTTGGTCAAGATTCAGTGTTTACATATATGGGTGGACAGTGAACGGTTGAGCAGCACGAGCAGTCGGGTCACTAGTTTTTGAATCTTCAATAAACTTTGTGACCACTTTGCGGAAATATTCATCAATAAGCAGGATATTAATATCGGCATCCTGGACTGCCTTGCGTGTATTTTCCCGAATACTGTGAATGATTGATATGTGACGTTTAATTTCGCAAAACCACAATATTGCCACGAGCGAGTGGCAGTAGAGCGACTAAGAGCAATTATGAGCGACACCATAGTGTAGGGCTTCAGAAATGTCGACCACCCATGGAGTTCTTTAACGTGCACCTAAATATGAAAACACGAGCCTGCAGCATTTTTGGCTCCATCAAAAATGCAGCCGCCGCAGCCGGAATTCGATTCCATGACCTGCGGTTCAGCAGCCACTAGACCACCACGGCCGGGCCCGAACACATTGAAGGCCCAGCAACATAACAGTATCTTAAGGCACTACATCTTGTTCTTCATGAACTGCTAAAAACCTTCATGGTCCCGTATATGCATCTAGCGGTAACATTTTTATAGTTCTTTGCATAATGTTCCAAAAGAACACGCTCTGCAAATTAAGGATCCAGTGCCAAAGTACCTCGGACAACTTGAGCCACTTACCCGTATGAAGAAATTATAATGATTATGTAAACCATAAAAATGCGAGCAGTCGGCTTTTTCAATCGAGAAACTCGCAAGCAGACGCGGCCTGCATCGGCGTTGCGAGGCGAGAGGGGAGGGTGCGTAGGAGAGCATAGAGAGAAAGAAGGGACGCCGCAGGACAAGGGTGACAAGCCCTCGGCGTAAGATGCTTCTCATCTAAATCTAATAACTAAACTATGGCACTTTTCACGCCAAACTACATTATTATGAGGCCTACTCTCTGGGTAGTGCGTTCCGGAAGTAATTTCAATTATCCGGGATTTTTTCCTAACTTTCGCCTAAACGGCAAGTGCACAAGCTTGCTATCATTTCATCTTTATCCAAAAACTGTCGCTTTCTTTAGGGATCGAACGCTGGTCCTCAACTTTAACAGTGCCCCACAATATATGCTCCTGAGCGGGATTGGTAAAGTATCAGATGCATCATTTGAAGATTGTGGATTAGGCCCTCACTAATAGAGATGATGAATTTTAGTCCACTTTAATTCAACCCTATTTCTATCTTGCAGTTCATGACAGCGACTAATGGTCACTTGGCTTAACCTGGCCGGATAAGATGTGGGCCTCATTCAGTTGTGTGAAACAGCAGATCAGTGGACAGTCTCAAAGTCACACCTTTCAAAGTCCTCGGCTGCCGACAAGGACGAAGCGGCGCCGCTGCTGATTTCATCTGGCGTCGAGGCGGCCGACGAAGACGAGGTTGTGGAGAAGCGAGGCTGCCTCTGTGCAGGCATGACAGCGGCGGCGACGGTCGCCTCTCGCACGGGGTCCTCGCCCGCTCCTTCCCACGGGTATCGGTGCCTGAGCTGCGCGGTGGGTGAAGCTCTCTAGGGCAGCGCCAACTCCGCTGTTGCTCAGGTGGCCCAGGCTCAGTCCCTCGAACAGCTCCTCGCAACAGCGGGGTGGCGAGCCGCTTGTCGCGGCCGCTTGTACCTTGCCACGGAGGGGTTCGTCATCACCGCAGTCTTCAACGCACGGAGGCCTGAGATTGCATCGGCAGTATTTCGTCTCATGAGAAGACAGATCACTCGGAGGAAAAAAAAAAGCATTTTGGAAGAAGTAAACTCGGTTTGTTGTCTATAGACGGTTTTCAGGTCACAAGCGTTGTACCCAAGAAAACTTCCGGTCGCCTCAAATACCAGTTTCAAACGTAGAAACTGAAAGCACGTTTTCAAGTTCCTTTTATAATGTAACTTCCCTCTTTAAATCTTCGGATGAAACAAACGTGCGTAAAGTTCAAGAGAATCTCTTGTAGTTTGATATAGCTCAAAAGATCATTATTTGAATATATTTTGCCAAATATGGGAAAGAAAGTGTAAAAACTCAGCGGGATATTTATAACGCTTTTCTAGCCAATCGATGCTATTCTGGCACATCGGTGGGCGAAACCGACGTCATCAAGGGGCTGCCTTGTAAACAAGAAAAGAATATGTAAGGTTACAACGGAACCACAGGAGAGACATCAGATGCAGATGATTTCTTTTGCTGTAACAGCGAGTGGCCAAGGTAGTAATAATTCAATGACACCACCAATTAGCCTTAAACCTGCATCATTTGTTGACACTTCATAGCTATTGCAGACATTATCTCTTAGTCAACCCGAGACAACGTTTGCCATATTTCAGGCCATTTACACCATACTAACCGACGCTACCCTGTGTCAACTTGTGCTGGTAGAGAAGAGTAAGTACTGTACGCCATGAAATCATCATTCCAAATTTATGAAAGAGTAAGGGTACGAAACGGAGTGGGGGGGGGGGGAGTAGACAACCCTGTCGCTAGTGATGCCCTAAGTGTGCTCATTAAAACCTTCTTTCCAGAACGCAAATAAAGTTAACCTGTCTCTCTATTTGCAGCTGAAAAGGGTCACTATTCCCCTAAAAATTAAAACGTTGTTACACAGTGGCGGTAGGCATGCGGAGGAAGGCGTTTACAATTTTGTTCTTTATGTACTGAGCATATAGGTGGTGATTCACGCATACGAAGGAGATAAAGGAGGGAAGGCAGGGAGCTGAATCAGACGTGCGTTTGCTTTGCTACCGTACTCTGGGTAAAGCGATGAAGGAATTAATATAAACAAATGAAGAATAAACAACGAAAAGGGAAGGAAACGAACGCTTAAGTAGGCCTGAACCAAAACGATATCAAATGACATAGGTAACAAATCCTCTCTATCTAGTGATAGTTCTTCATAGGTGTACCTCTAATTGGGCGTTTTTTTCAGTGTTTAAGACGTAGCATAAAAAAAAACAGAGGCACGCCTCATATGTGTCGCATGATGTGTGCACGTGTGTAACAGAGTTACGCATGCAGTGTAACAGACTACAGAATTTTTTTAGTGACAACACGCTTGTTGCAATAGTATAAACGCGAAAACAGTAACAGAACAAGCTATTTGATTTTTTCTTAACCATTCAATTTATGCCCCCAGGTTACCAAGCATAATGAATACGCACCTGACTGCTTAGGAAGATCGTCGAAAATATCAAAGCTATGTTTTACACTAGAAACCACTATCGGTAGTATTATGGGGTAAAAGTTTCTTGGTCACATATTTGTTTGTATCTCACAGCAAGTATTATAAAGCATTATGGAGAATATAAACGTATACTATGAATCCAATAGTTCAATCACGCAACGCTGCACAAGCGTTGCGTGCACAAGTGGGGCAAAAACAATATTAATAAAAGAGACGCTCCTGACACGTTAACTTTGCAGCTCTTAAAATTAGACCTATGAACTGCCCCTACGTTTCGAGATACCTTCGATCTCGTTTTCAGGGGGTGACTTTTTGGTTGGCTCCAACAGCCACTGAGAAAAGTCGCTATCTGCAAAGCCGGCCGGAAAGTCATCCTCCGAAGACGAGACCGAATGGGATTAGAAACGCAGGGCCAGTTTTTAGCTTTATTATTAAAAACTGTAGACGAAACGTGCCTACAGTGTATTCATTCGTGTTTTAAGTCGTCTTCCGTAGGTAATATTTGATTAGTATAAAAAGGAAAGAAGAGACAATTCTACTTCTACATACTTGGTAATTATCACCTTTGGAATATACCCTGGAAAAGAATTAGGATTTGTTACATAATTTATAGATTTCCGTGAAAAAGGAGCTTAAAAGTTTTGCTATAGTTATATAAGCTCACCGCTTCAAAGAGGCAGGTTTAACACTGCGGCAACTGCCACGCCGCCTGTCCAAATGCATCTGAAGTGTAAAAACGTGTTTATCAGACAAACTGACGTGACCTAAGTTAGCTTTACTTAGCAGAAATTCTAGCTATCAGAAGTTTCAAAAGGTCTGAAATGTATAAAATTTATAAAAATGCCTAAACGTACAGAATCAAGGTGTTCGCCAATTCGAACATATCAGCCGGAAATAGAATTCGGGGTTCCGTAAGCTGCATTCTGGCAACATATAAAGCGTAACAATTTTAGATTTTGAAATCCTAGCTTACCTCAGTTTTTTACAGCAGGTAAGTTTCCCCGAAACTTGCGTTCATGTATTGACGCCTAACATTGCAGTGGCGTATTTTTGTTAGTTTTATACACTCTCAGCTTCATTATTATTTACATTTGAATAAAAACATAATTTTTCATTCTGGGTTACAACGTGCTCAATTTGGTTGCTTGTATTCGTGAAATTTATCAGTATTCAAGACCAAATCCAAGGCTTCATATACAAAATTGAATTTATTGATTCTTGAAAACAGATTTCTTTTTCGCATTTGAATGAGTCTGATAGCCAGGATCAACACATTCTATTATTTTCACCGTGACGAACCTGATGCAGTCTGTTGCGCTAGCTGCTGCGACAACACTAAGGTTTCCCTATTTTAATACATTTTAAAGTTCAACATTTGAACCTAAAGCGGCGGCCTCTTGTCTCAACAGCATAAAACAAGTGCAGTTTTAATTGTTTTAAATGTTTTAAAGAACAAAGAAAAAATCAAACTTTTCTGCACTCACACAACTGCTGTAAAGATAGGACATAATACAGATTTCCCGTCGATACACGAGTGCTTGAAATTACTGCCGCACGTTTCGTGTTACTTTCACGTGTACACTTCAATCCTTAACATGAAACAGCTACTATGCGAACCTTCACGATCTGCTCGTCTATTTGTACACGAAGTTACACTACACACCGCGCAAAGCGTGAGCTCTTTTCTCCCTGTCGTTCAAACGAATAGTTTATCTTCATGAAACATGGGAGGGCCTGTATTGAAGGTATCTTGCCGAGAAGCTCATTAGTGTATGTACGTAAGGGCAACTCTACATAATTACGAATGCGATGACCCCGCCTTCATTAGGGGGCACAAAAGTTCAACAAGATGCACTTCTCTCTGGGTGGGTGATGTGGCCCCAATTAGTGCGCCGAATCAGAAGTAATTTTTTTAACAAAAAAAGGTCATGTCACCAGCGAGTGAATTTCCCGTATTGAAGTTCAATTGCTGCGCGTTAACAAACTGCTTGAAGGTTCATATCCTGTGGACGTTCGAGTATGTAAGCACATACGTGATATTTGCAGTATGGCATACATTTTTGACACGTTGTTTTTAATTTGTGCAAGGTCAAGCATAAAGACAAACTGTCCGTCAATTCGAATACAATTATTTTTCTCTAAAGTAACTGCTCATTCACTTCTCTCGTTTGTTTTACAAATATTATTCTTTCGTCAACTTTGTAATAGTCAGATTTCTTCACTATACAGAATCAGTCTTACCACACAATGATAGTGCCCCTCTCAAATTCACCTATGTGTCTTGCACAACATTAAATAGATTCAGTTGAGCGTCTGCAACAGCTTTGTGGACGCAGCCTGCCACAGAAAATGGCTGGCACGTCACGTCTGCAAAGCTGCTGCAAACGCCCGACTAAATCTCTCTGCTAGGCCCTTCGCGGAACAGTTTTGGTGTGTGAACGAGGTGGCACCAGAACGATCTGAAACGATCATCACGCACCTACAGCTGCTGGCGCATGCGCTAAGTTTCATGAGCTGGTGTTCGTTGTTATAATAGCTGGCACCAGAACACGTTCCTGTTCACATCATAACAGTCTGGCTGAAACACACTATACTTGGCAGCAACTTGCTGTGGCAGCACAGCCAAGTCTACGAAGCACAAGCACGCCCTTTTTTACTACGCTTCTGCATGTAGTCTACGAACGGTACTTTGGTATATTGCGTAGCCTAAAAAGAAAAGATGTAAATATTATGTGCAACATTGTTTTAATTATTATTAGGAAACATGACCCGTGCAGGTTTTTTTGTTCTTTGCTTTTTCTAGTTTTCTTGCTTTCTGGTGTCATTTCACTTTTTCCTTGGCCCGGTAAAACAACGATGCAGCAATTAAAACGTTAGAAAACAGTAACGGTAATAATGACCATAATTGAGCTCACGGCACTGCAGCTGCGACGGTCACTGGACAACTGAAAATACTTCTAAGTGTAATTACTCTTCTTAAGTACAGCTATCGTCTGTTTCTGTTTGTACCTTACAAACAAATCAATTGTACCAAGCATAAAATGTCCAAAACAATCCTGTGCACAATCGGGAGGCCCCTACTGCGTAATCCAGGAGCAGGCTAGAATTCACATTGCACCCGCTTGCCAGTCTCTGTGGCGATACGCGACGCTCCTCTTTAAACGACGAGGCGTTCACGTGGCAGGGAGTAGTTAAAGGCCAACTCCGGTGATTTTTCGAGGTCAGTGGATCTCAATGAAATTTACTGGGCACGATGTTCCTTTGAACGTTTGCGCCATTCATGCCAAATTGCAGGCTTGAGAGTGTCGCAGATTCTTTTCAAATTAATTTTGTAGCTTGCCTCAAAACGCTCCTCTCGCTTGCCAGCATTAATGTCAACATTGTGTATGTGACGTTGAGTTTTGCCTGGCGGAAGGGATGAACTGATGTGCCACTGCAACGTCTGCTTTGTCTGCTATGGATTGTGTGGGTTTGGCCAGCTCTTCCTTCGTTGAGTGTGCGAT